CTGGGGGGGGTCGGGGCCGACCCGGTGGTTAGCCACAAGGGTTGGCTCACCCGCGGAAGGGGACTGGGGCCGCGTACGAACGATCGCCAGGTCCCGGGAAGGTTAAAAAATGATAATAATAACTAAAAAAAAAAACTGCTTCTTACATCGCCTGCAGCAAAACGGCCCACACCTGGTGCCAGCGCCGGAAACCAGGAGGAGCTCGGAACGAACCAATAAAAGCGAGCCCGCGAATGGGCGCCGGCCGCGCCTGGATTTGCCCGCGCTGGGCTGGGCCTGGTGAACTTGGGAAAGGGAGGGGCGGCGACCCAGATCCTCAGGTAGGGAAGCGAATTTTGTTCAAGTATCCCGCTAAAAGCAAGCCCATGACTGTGCCTACCATAATTAAAGAATTAACGCCTCCACTCAGAAGCCTGGTGCGCTAGCTTGAGCCCTGGTGAGGCAGAACCCCGGCTTTCCTGGAACGTGAGCGTTCAGGACCGTATTGTCTATTTGCAGGACGGTTCCCGAGTAGCTCTTTGAAATAGCTCCCTGTCTTTTGAGTAACAGGCAGCCTACCTACTCGGAAGACAATGAGAAGTAGGGGGGACTTCATAGAGTTCGTGGAAACATGGAGTTAAAGTTTATTTTGATGCAAAAACATTTGAAATCCGTGCACAGTTTTTTGTTTGTTTTGTAGAAGTTTTTGCTATAGGGTGCGTGCGCTTGCCAGAAAGAGAGAGACAGAAAGCGAGAAATCACCCCCCAGGGGTGATGGCCACGCAGCAATCCCTTCTCCATTCTCCTCTTGGGATCTTGGGCATGCACGCACACATGGCCGACGTGAATTTAAGCCACCGGTCTGGAGCTGGAACCGCGGTCTACTACATAGGAGTTCAGTGACATAGCCATTATGCTAACTGCTGGTCTCCATGCACAGTTTTTTTAATGAGACACATTTTCCATGAGCCCTTTGGCGAACCCTAGGAGAAAAGGTTCTGACAGAGCATGGCCTTGTTAGATCAGCATGTCAGACAGACCTGGCAGGGTACACTTGCAAACCCTGCCACAGCCTCCAGAGATGCTGCTGTCACCCCAGGGTAAGATGAGGATGGGAGATCTCTAGTGCAGATACTGAAACAGTATGTGAGGGTGGGAGCAATCAGGTCACGGTCCAAGCCAAGGCCACTGCGTCCCACCCTTGTTTTTTCGACTCCACCATGGGGGCCCCTTTTAGACAAGGGCACCCTCAGACCTCATTGGGTTGGCCCAAAGGACTAGACTGCAGATCACACACCCCAGATCAAAGCTCTGGAGGAAGTATTCAGAAATCAGATTTGCTCACAAGCTCCCCAGGCAATTCTCTAGTCCGAGAAGCACCTGGTGGGAGCTCAGGGGCTAGAAGGGCTGCTGCTGGCCAGACAGAACTACTGGGGCAGCCACATGGAGTGCGTGACTGGGGCAACATGTTCTCAGATGTTACCAGGATTTGAGGATCCAGTTCTTTGAAAGGTTATACATAGGTTAACAGTAATTTAAGGTATAAAACACATTAAAATATTCTGACTTCCTCAAGAAACATTTGGAGTTTCAAAGGTATTGCATGACTTAATCATAATACTGTGCATGCCTAGAGCCCTCCTTAGGTACCTGACACTGGCCAAGGGATTACATAGATTCTCATTTTAGTCTCCAAACACTCTCTAAGGTGTAGTCTTTCTGTGCCCATTTGCCGAGATTGTTTCTTCCTTGTCTGAGGCACACAGCTGGTAAAGTCTTTCTGATTCTGGATATAGACTTCTTTGTCTCTACTACCTGGACAGGCTTCAAACATATTCTGGAGCAGTAGCTGGGGAAAAATAGGTCTGAGTCTATTGGCTCAGTTCCAGTCCCTGTCAAAATAAAACTGGTAAGTGTATATGTTATTCTGTCCTGCCAATGATGTTGCAATCCGCTTTTCCCATGCAGTAAAGATGCCTGATTCAGCAGTCTTCTCTGTGCTCAGTACAGGCAATGTTTCATTTTTGGCTGTAGCTACTTTTTACAAAAGCAGTTGGTTGCTCTTCTGCTTGGCTCATCCACCACTTGACTCTCCTTTCTGCTAGAGGGGCAGCCAGTTTATCACCGCCAAACTGTTGTGTTCAGTTTCCTAGAATTCCAGAGTTGTTTCTTTATACAAAATGTTCACAGTAGCTTCATTCACAATAGCCCCAAACTGGAAACAACTCAAATGCCCTTCAACCAGGGAATGGATAAACAAACTGTGGTATATCCCTGCAACAAACTACACCTCAGCAATAATAGGTAACAAGTTTCTGAAACAATGATAGGTAACAAGTTTCTGAAACATGTAACATCAGTTGGAGAATCTCAAAAGCATTTATTAAGTGGAAGAAGCCAGACTCAGTGGGTTACATGCCATATGGTTACATTTATATGCCAATCTAAACAAGGCAAACCTAACCTAGCAATATAAAGGACAGAAAGCAGACCAACGGCTGTCTGAGGGAAGGGGGAGGAGGCCGCAAGTAGGACTAGGTGGTGTGTGATTGGGAAGAAGCTCAAAGGAACTTTTGGAGGTATTGGGAATGTTCCATGTCTTGATTGTAATGACAGTTACACGTGTATGCATATATTTTAAAACATCAACACTGTATACTTAAAATGTGTATAATTTGTTATATGTGAATTACATATTGAAGAAATTGCTTTGAAAATAAAGCTTTTCCCTGGGAAATGAAGAGTGAAAATACAGTGTGTGGCATAGTGCATCTGACTTGGTTGTACATTTCACAGTTCTTAGTTGGTGGGGTGGATCTCAGGACACTTCAAAAGACAGACTCTACAGGGGAGTTCACTCTTCCTCCAAAGGACCATGTCCCTTCAGTTCTTCAGCATCTTTTTGTTGAACAGGAGCATCTGAGCAGGGCTCACAAGGTCCCAATGCCTCAGTTACATCTTTAAGGACACCTCATTCTAAAACAGGACACACAGTTCAGCCAGGGATCACATCTTTCCATTATTCAAAGAGCAAGTATAGAGATGGAGAATGAAAAACTAGATGGTCCTGGAGTTGTCAGAGAGTGTTTGCTGGCACCTCTTTCTTATTCTCTGTTTTTAATTTTGCCAGAGGTGCTCACAGGGGAGAGACAGAGAGCAGTGGGAAATCACCCCCCATGGGGAATGGTCACCCCACAATCCTATCTCCTCCATTTCTCCTACCTTTCAGGATTTTGGCCACGCACGTATGTGCCTGGCATGTTTTTCAAGAGACTGGGTCAGGGACTCAAACCACTCAGTTGGCTATGTGGGATCCAGCTGCCTTAACCACCACACTGTGTGCCGGCCCATGCCGGCACCTTCTTAGC